TTGTTTATTGATTTTGTAAAAAATTCACAGTGGTGCAAATAAAATGTTGTTAGTTGTTTTTAGTGATACACATGGTTTCACGTATTTTAGGGACACTGTATGTAGGCTATAGTGACGAACGATATGAAGCCTAGGTTTATGAAGACAGAGCCACATTAGATAAAACGTTCCCATTTGCCTCAAACAATTTTTTGACACGTACAAAAAAACTTATGCATATTAAAATACTTTACTGACGACATAAATGGCAGAATGTACTAAGATTGTTCAATACTTTAATACACAGCTTACGATTTATATTAGTATGCTACAACAATAGAAATTTTAATCGTGAACCATCAAATCATTTCTGGTAACATGTGTTTTGAAAGGACTATTTCTTTAGATCGTTTCTTTAAATTATTTCCTTGCATCTTTTCTCCAAATCATTTCTTTAAATTATTTCTTTAAATCATATCTTTAAATCACTTCTTATAAATCAATTATTTTAGAGTTACTATTTAAAAACAACTCCAAAGCTTTATTTTTCGTGCAACACAATGTTTCAGAAGTCTGCGGACAGGTGGGATAAAGTATTAAATAATAAAAATTATGCGAAAGCTCCGAAATAGAGTAATTTAAATCAGCTTCGGATTCTCTGCGATAAATATTTAACGTGTCGCAGAATCCAGCGTGGCACGAGGAGGAAAATGACAATTATCGACGAGTCAAAAGGTGAACGCATTATTTATAGATGAATTTTTTACGATTACCTCCGATTTCCGCGTCGTGACGCGTCGATTTCACGCTGATCTTATGTTGCGTGTGTCTTTATATCGTAAAATCAAAATAGATTCGACAAAAGCTAAAGGAACAGTTTAATAAAATCAATAAAACATTTCAACCATGCTCTAGATATCCGATTTGTATCCAAATACGAACCACTTACATATATTTACACTCATTAGTCTCATTAGTCTTATCAATCTTATCTGTTTCATAAAATTTTGGTAATATTTTTAGTAATAGTAATTAGATCTTGATATATCGAACGAATCCTTCAAAACCACTTTAATTGCTTTTGTCACTTTTGTTGCTTCATTTACAATGAAATCGTGGAACAGTGTAAATACACGTCAGAAGAATCTCAGATTACTATCACATTACTCTCGATCTAACGAAACTATCGAAAGAGGACATCATTTGCTACTTAATTCGCATGTCTTGCTATCGATACAAACAATTTTAGCGTTACACTAATTGCACTATATATAGGACGTGTGAAAAGATCTTAAGAAGTAAATCAATCTCTTAAAGGCAGAGACTACGAAAGATCGGACACGTTATAGTTTATTGCACCAAAGTAGAAAATACACCGTGAAACCATAAACTATTTTTAACCCTCACAGGGCGGACATTTTTGACGCATTCTTGGCAACCACAACTGGATCAATCAACACACGCATACTGATCGCTTACATAGAAACTTGGTATTATCGAAGCAATTTATTTAATAAACCAAAGATCGAGAAGTTAATATACCTACGATATTAATTATGCTTTCAAACATAATCAATAAAAGTTGATCGACGTGTTAAAATCTTTATACATAGAAACATGTATCTAATATTATGTAATTATTTAGCTTACTTAGCAACGTGGAACAAATGCAATACGATGCGTCGATCGCAAAACTGTTCGACGAACATCGAAAATCGTGAACACATATTGTAGAACTTCACACATTTAGACATTGTACATACATATGCGGAAGATCGAAGAATACGATACCCCGAAAATTCCGAATGGATTCCGTAAAAACAGCTCAGTTCGAGTTAAGATGTTTTTGCACGCAGTGCCAGAATTTAGTTACACTCGTCGCCGTATTTATTACAGTGTACAGTCAGAGACAAATATTTGTGGACACCATTTAAAACGATATACCTTTTTTCAAACTGAACTACATGACTTGAATTTTCTTTTAGACAATGACTAAAATTCGTTTTTTTAATTTTGCTATTACTTGGAACGATAGAAAGAAAGTAAAAATCTGAGCCTGTAACGAAAATTTAAAAAATGCACTTTGAAGAAAGTCCGCTTCAAGTAAAAAAAGCTTACGTTTTTTAACTCTTTTATTTGAGCCTGTAACGAAAATTTAAAAGATGCACTTTAATGTAAGTTCGCCTCCTATGAAAGGGTCGTTTTAATTTAAAGAAAAAATTGTACAATAGACAATTAGAGCACGGATTTAGTGTTGAATGAAACATTTGTGATCCTGGATCGGGACGAGCTCGGTTCCTGCCGAGAAAATGTAACTGTCGGAGATGACAATCGATTTCGAAGATGACCACCGCAGCGGATTCGAAGGAAAGAAAGTTCGTTGGACTTTCTATAGCAGCGAAGCGGTACTTTCTAAAATATTGCGCGGCGTTTGTTTCTTAATTGTGGCGCGAGCGTCGCGAGCCATAATAAACTCGATTTCGCGTAATAATGCAGCGTTTTCGTTAGTCGAAGGGTCCGTGTTGCCACGTGCACGGCGATAAAAACGTGGCCCGTCCGGTGACAGGTGCACCGCGGCAAACCTGTTCTTTTTTTCCCCCCAAGCATCCGCCGTAGAATTTCGAATGAAGCACGAGCCTCTGCCGGCGCCGCTTTTACTTCGCCGACGACAAGACACATCCCGGTGATTGTTTCTCGCATTCTCAGAAAAAGCGAGGAATCTCATTCACGGGACCAAAGAGTTCTCTAAACAGCAGTCGCGTCGCGTCGTTGCTATCGCTGGCTTAGAACGTCGAAGAAACCGATCGACGCCGACTTTCGCAACAAGTATTCCAGCAAAGATACAGATCGAAACGTTTCGCTCGTTAAATACCGTTGCCACGAATACGTTCGATCATAGATGCCGTTCGAAGCTAATTAACACACAAAAGTAACAGTAAGTAACAGTATCAATCAACGGGAGCCAGAGGCGTCGATTATCCTTCGAGCGATTCGTCGCGTCAGCGAAACGTTCACTTCGTATGTACGCCAAGCATAATTGGCGGGATCTTTAGAGAGAATAAATTTTCTTCGGCTCGTTTGCAACAGACTGGAGTGAAATTGAAATTTATTTAGGATAGTGGAACTCGTTACTGTCAGCTCGTTGGTTTGTTTTCGGGCATAATTCGCTTTATAATCATTAGACTGCGGATTTGATGCATTTATAGTCAAATACAAAATTATAATGACATTAGATGAATTTATGTATATTGTTACGCGTTATTGTCCATTTATTAGAATGATTAAAACAGGAAAGACACTTTCATCTAATTCATGTTTCTTACAGTTAACCTTGACAAGTTTTATTTTGCACAAAGATCCGCGGTCTAATAATTATCGAATGTTAAATTTTGTTATTGTTTATTTGTTTATTTTCGAATAAAACTATTTGCTGTGGCCTTTGGATTGTTTTCAGGCATAATTAAAATTATATTTATCGAATAAGACGTGTTAAATTTAATATGTCTTATTTGATAAATGTAAAGTTAATTGTGCCAAAAACAAAGGCGCACCGATTGGTTATCCCATAGTTACCTATATGTTCGATTCATTTAATTTGATAGTTTCTTATTATTATTATGGTTTTTGCATTGTGTTTCATTGTTTCTTTTATTTTCGTCGTAAACGTCTACAAACCGCAATTAATGTAATGACATACTCTCTGGACTAAGTTTCCTGGATCAATAAAATACACATTCTGCTAGCGTTAGGTAATGCTAAATTATTCAATTAGGAAGCGCTATTGCCGCCACCTATTGCTCCAAAGATATAGTCTAGTCGTCGGACGTAAAGATCTTGACAAGAATGTCATTTTTATTAGAACAGTTTCCAGCAGAATTATTCGTTTAATATTAAATCGACCGAGCACTGAAATTGACTGGAATGTGTAATCGAGCAATTTTCACTACAGCCTGTGCTGAAACGAAGAAACTCACTCGATCATTTACCGTGATACCATTTTTATAACGGTATAATGAAAGTTTTCCGATGAGCCAAATTGGAACTGGTTGGAGATGTGAAAGACATCGTGAATGTACTATTTTCAATTAATCAAAACGGTCACAGAAACGATGGCAGAAAGCGACCAAAAAATACTAACAAAAATACCGCAGATAATACAAAAATACTACAAAAATACTACAAATCCTACAAAAATACTATATCAAATTTTGTAAATTTAATCTTCAAATCTATATCAAATCTATATCTAAATAGCTTCAATCGCGAACAAAATTTGTAGCACTTTCAAGCAAAAACCTGTCTTTAGTCTCCCACCTGCTATACTACGTAAAAACATGTTACAGGAAAATGAATGACGGAGTGCGATAGCAGAGGCTTCAAGCTTTAAAATGAGCCTAAGTTTCTGATCGTACGATTCCATTTTACGAAATTACAAAAGTTCGAATATCGACGATATTTCGAAAATCGGAAACCGAGCATGCGAACGCTTTCGGGAGCGACTATAAGTTCGAACAGTATTCCACTGATTAATTAATATTACTAAAAGAAATTAAAACCATCTGAACGAACATAAAAAATGGTATAATATTCTATATCTCTCGTGCAACAAGGAAAACTGTACAACCATGGCTAGAGTCACAAGGAGACGTTACAAAAACTGTGCATCGATTTTGGGAGCAAGAATCAATAACAATCGTGGCGCGCACGTAGCATTTGAAAATTCTCACGGTTCTCCATCGAGTAGACCAACGTTTCTCAACATGTAATTCCGAATTGAAATTTTCTACCAGTACGTGTCACTGACTTTCATAGTTACCAGCTCCGCTTGAAAATTACGATTACGGACATTCAAAAATCGAGGTCCCATTCGAAACCCATGGGAGAGTTCCCGAATGCTGTACACATGTCCTACAATTTTCATAAACAATGTACACTTTCATAAGGTCCGCGCGTCAGCCCAGCCGGTGTACAGAGTTCTCACCGGCAGCGTCGTTCGATTGCGAAAGTGAATATGTACTCACGGTTCCTCATGTTGACTCCCGTGTGTCCTGGCGTAATCTCGGCAAAAGATCCTAATCCTTCGAATTCCGTCGCAGCTAAACCGTGGTCAGTTATCCGGTCACGTGGTAGCTGCGTTGTATGTACACAGAGCGAGTCCCCTTGCTTTTGTCCTGTTGCTTTTGTTCTTCCGAGACGCTGCCAGGTAGCAAACAACAATTCACCGTGTCCATCGATCACCAACGAAACAATCACAAAACCCGCGCCGATCTCTCCGTGATCCAGAGGCACCTGATCCAGAGAGACCCGGTGAACCGCGCGACCTACAGAACACCCGAAAGCCCGGAACGCTTCTGTTCGACGCGAGCTGAGCCGCGATCGAGCCTGGAGATCGTCGATCCACGTCGATCTACGAACGCGGACTGGCTTTCTTGCCGATCGGACGATGATAGGCGCGCGCCCCTCTTTCCGGGCGACGACGATGAATCCTCTTTCTGGCGCACACGACTGGTGGAAAAGGTGTTCACTAAGTTCGGTTAGGTCAAGTGTTTTCCCGGCGTAGTCTCGAGTAGCACTTGTTGATTCCGGACGAGCATAGTTCTGACCAGAACGCCGAGAACCACACCTTACGAGAGACTGTAGTGGATATACGGTTCGAGTTGAAAGGCCCTCGCCCGCGAGACCGAGCCAGGGCCGTACCTAGGAAACCCGGCGCGTCGAGATTCATCGATCGGAGCCGCCGGCGATCATTCTCCCCGACCCGGCAGACACGCAGCTGTCTGAAACACGATTCTAGGCGAGCAGAATCATTTTTCTCGTTGCATTGCAATTAGGATCGTTTCATTACCACCCAAACGTTACGTTCAAATTTCGGGCTTTTGCATGAAAGTTCATGATGTTGTTCAGATATTCCCCATTCTAAATTTGAATACAACCGTGTATACAATAAACGTTATAATAATATATAATATATATTATAATAATATATAAAGCGATGTTAATTTTATCGGATCCCTAATTCTCGTATTCTTTATCATCAGACTGTGGATTTTTATCCAAGAGATGTAGATACTACATAAACATTTATTTCTTGTCTTGATCATTCTAATGAGTCGGTAATACAATTGTGTTTTCAAATTGTATAAATGTTTCTGCTATTTTTCATTCGATCAATTGATTATCGTCATAAATGCATCAAATCCGCAGTTTGTTTATTACTTCGGGAATTATATTTAACTGTGATCTATCTATACCCCAGGACTAGATCCTTTACTGCATGTAAACATACAGATGCAAAATGCTTTTGCTCATTGTCAGCTAGAATTGCGCTTTTTAGACCACTGTGAGACATTTGGACGCGGAAAGATCATAAAGATCTAGAGGAAGTCTTGACAATAGGTTAAATTAAATTTGATATTCCTTCCCGTCAGAAATTGCTCTTTTCTACTTCGATGTAACGATTCTAACGATTGTACGATGCCTGAGATCATTCTAGTTAATGTGCCAGACGCTTGAGCACGAAAGTACGTTAGGCTAGGTTCGGAACGATATTAACGTTTAGTTTTTAATTTGGATTTCGTTCACTTCGAAACGGCATGTTTCTGCGCCGATGTGGCAATTCGAACGATTTTATTATCTCTCTGATTGGTGTGGTCAACGTGTTACACATTTGAACACGAAAAAAAACCAGTCCAGGTTTCAAGCTATGTATTTGGTCAATTGGTTAAATGAAGGTTTTGTTTCCTCATGCAATTGTTCTTTCCTGCGTCGATGTAGAGAACTCCACCGATTTTACAATGCCTGAAATGTTTTCCGGTAACAGTTTTGCTGAAGTACAAAGAGCTTTTGTTGCAATTCGGCGAGCATTTATTGTACACAAATCCATGCGACGAGTTTCGATTTTATTTTTAGATACAAGAAAATGGTACAAGGCTTAGGATTATTCTAGTAAATATACGAGTCGTTTGAGCACGCGAAATGACAGAAAGCTGAATTTAGAACGCTATTGACAGTTAGTCGAATTTCATTTGGATCTTGTTTCTTAAAAAATGGATCCCGGTTGCAAAGTTCAGGATGCCCCTGATCATTACGGCCGATGTGCCAGATCTTTCAACATGAAAAAGAACGACACTGAATTCCGAACAGTCTTGTCAAACGGTTTATAATTTACGGCAAAAATTGTTGCTCGAAGATACAGTGATTCCAATGATTTCATTGAGTCGTGCAATATAAAATTTCGCATTTTTTCTTTTCTTTCTCAAAAAAATAAAGCTTTTGCATAAACGCTCGCACGATTGATAGAGTGTACATATTCTTGGATCACTTGTAATTCGTAAGAAAATTCGATTTATTATTATACATTCTCTTGGATTACGTTAACTTTTGGATGCAGATCCTGCAGATCCTGAATTTACCTTCTCGTAGTTTTAAAGGTTCTCTTTGTATTCGGAATTGTTGACAAACTCGGGCAAAGCTTTATATTTATCGAATAAAACATATGACATTTTTCTATTAAAAAATAAGCAAAATGAAAGAATAACAAAATTCAAGATAAAACAAACTAAAAGAATAAAAAGATTTTAAACAAGCAAAATGAAAGAATAAAAAGATTAAAGGTAAACGAATGAAAAGAATAAAAAGATTTTGAAGAAGTAAAATAAAAGAGTAACAAAACTGAAGATAAACAAATTAAAAGAATAAAATGATTTTAAGCAAGCAAAATGAAAGAATAAAAAGATTAAAGGTAAACGAATAAAAAGAATAAAAAGATTTTGAAGAAGTAAAATAAAAGAGTAACAAAATTGAAGATAAGCAAATTAAAAGAATAAAATGATTTTAAGCAAGCAAGATAAAAGAATAAAAGAATTCAAAATATAAGCAGAATAAGAGAATAAAAACATTCGAAACAAACGAAGTAAAAGAATAAAACAACTGTTACTTTTGTTGATCAACCCCCTCGAGCTATCACGACGAAATTTTCGAGACTGCAAAAAATATTCTTCCATTTCGTCATATGTATTGCCATGAGCGCTGGTTTCCGAGGAAGCTGTGAAAACGTTACTGCTCAAAGAAACTTAACCCAAACCTTGTTAAGTTGACTTGTTCGCCGAATTCCGAAGAAGTCATATAAAATTTGCTGCTTCAAGCAAAAAGATTTCGGTACTTCATGCTCCGCGTCGTTAATCAGAGTTGAAAATGATGGATCGAATGACTAGATGTTCAAATTCAACCAACTTTCTTCGTTAAAACTTGGCATAAGTTGCAACGATCGTTTCTACCGAAACTTAATATCATCGAAACCGCCAAACCCCTCGAACGCTCTCATCTAAGTAGCCCTATTTTCGACCGATCCTGATGTTACAACAATACCTGAAGTTTCCGGAACAATGTCGCGAGAAAATCGATCGAGAATCGCGCACATTTCCGATTCGATTTAGCCGGCACCGGGGAACCCGTTCCTCTCCGGCACAACCGCTTACAGTTAAGCATTATTCAACTTAAGACGCGCCGGGCTTTCTGTGCAGCAACCTAATAACATCGTCGAAAATACGTCCGCTCGTAAGTTAAGACAGACGACTCGGGAATGCAAATTCGGCGGGGCCCGTGGTTGCCACGAATTCTTCCCGGTTAACATACAAATTGCCATCATTCGTTATCGTACAGGTTGGTGTACCGGTGTACAGGTCCCCGTCCTCCTCGTCCTCCATCTGTGTAATCCGGTTCGAGGATCCCTTTTTTTTCTTTGGCCGCGACTCTGCCAACTGCGCTCTTTAGCACCGGCGAATAATTATCGCGTGTCAAAGCCTCGTTCCCGATGGATATGCTCGAGGAGCGCTCCGGAACATTGCGAAGAATGTTTCACGCGAGGCCACGCCTAGAGTTCGATCTTGCATAGCTCTGGCACCGCCTATGGGCTCACCTTTTGCTCCTTGGATCGAGGACAGGAGGCTCAGGACACGATTCGCCGATGGCTGACCAGTTATCCAATCGTGGAACGTGGAAGCAAATAATACTGTGTCGAGGTGAAACGCAGAATTCCGATGTGCAACGTACTGCCGTCGTCGTCGGGATTCTCCTCTGGATCATTAACTCCGCGATGACACCCTCGGATCTCTCGCGACTCCAGCAGAGAGAGATTGACTTTGACTTGACCAGAGATTCGAGGCTTTCACGGCCCGGTATCGTACAGTTCTTACCGTCGAGGCTTTATTTATTTTGTTTTTCTTTTGGTTTGATTTATTCCAAACACTTTTCTATTTAGTGAAAGCATAAACTCATTTGTCGCGATGACTCATAGTGGGTAGGTACAAACAATAGATTCCACCTAGCTGCATCGGAAGTTATTTATGATTCATCAGGGAGTCAAAGACGCGCTGTTACTGATATGTGCCTGGTGGTGTTCCACTTGACCCCTTGCCGTGCCATTTTCTTTCCAGTCATAATGATTAGAACTATTTCGATTATAATAATTTCTTAGAGGAATCGAAAGATTTGTGTTTATCGTGCGTCTACACTTCCTTGAGTACTGAAATATTGCAGAGAAAAGAACAGAATTTTGTTCCAACATGAAAGAACGGAATAACATTCATGCTTAACAGGTTCTTAGCAGAAATCTCCGTTACGAGTTGGACTCGTTAAAGTACGGCAAGGGGTTAACATAGTGGAACCTCTTCATGTCCCGGTTCATTACTTACCGATCAAGAAGACTTTTTAATTGGCCGGTTAAAGAATTAAAAACCTGGGTGTTAATGTTATTAGAGTGTTTCGTTATTTCCGATGTTCCTCTGTATTTTCCAAACCAAGTATCCTTTGGTTTTGACGTTAACTTCGCTGAAGAGTTACTGTATGTCCTGTTCCAATATGGTTCGATAACCCAGTCCGGTACAACGTTCATGTTCCTTCAATCGAGTGATCACGATCCCTCCAGTTTCGCCAATGTAAACTTTAACCTGTAAATTTACATTGAAGACTGCAAACCAAAATCTTCAAAATAAGCAAACTTTTACAGTCGTTTTAGAGAGATTCCATAGCCACAGTTCCTTGTAGAGTGAAGAGAGTGCTATTATAGGGTTAAAATTGGGGAACGTTTTATCTAGAGAAAACTGTATGAAAATGAATGCTGTTATTTATGAAGTAAACTTTAAAGTAACAGGAATTTGTTCATGAACAGCAAAAGAAGGATTTTTGCTATAATTTTCGAATATTCGTGCAAGAATATGATTAGTTTTAAGACCATTGAGTCCACGTTAAGTAAACTGATGTGTAATAACACCTAAAAATAATTTCTCACTACGATTTTAACAATAAATAGATTGCTAGATAATATTAGACTGAGAAACTTTATTCCGATATAGATTTTTGTATGTTATTTATAAAAATTGTAAAGATAAACGAATTTAGTACGTCCTAATGAAGGCAATGAGTAGACTGTGAACTCTTGTGAAATAGGTTTTTATTAATTGGTAGACTGCGGATCCTTGTGTAATAGATTTTTATTAATTAGTACACTGTGGATCCTTGTCTAATAGATTTTGATTAATTAGTAGACTGCGGATCTTTGTGCAATAGATTTTTATTAATTGGTAGACTGCGGATCTTTATGTAATTAATTTTGATTAATTAATAGACTGCAGATCTTTCTGTAATAAAAGAACTGTCATTAAATAAAGCATCTGCATCTCATAATGAATTTTGAAATTGAAAAAAACCTGTAACTCAGCAATAGACACGTTCGTGAGAAAGATTGTGTTACTGGGAAAAATGATAACAATTCAACGGATTGTTTGGTTCATACTTTATACGATACACCGCAGCATATTCGTGCTCCTCGAGCGACCATATTGGATGTTTGCAGTGGGATGATACTTATCAGAAGGTGTACCCGAAAACCTACTAAATTTTACAGTGCTTCAACAGGCAGTCATGTAATCAGGCAAAACAAACACAGTCACACATACTCTGCTTCACGGTGATTATTATCTCGGTGTTTGAACCGCTGTGATTATAAAAAAACATCAAACGTGTTAAACGAAGCCTGAAAAAGCAAGATACAACAATTTGTCAAATTTTCTCTATATTGAAAAGTGGATTTCTTTACATCGCGAAACACGACATGTAGTTCCAAACAGCATGATCAAAATGGCTGAAGCATTATCCTAAAATCAATCATGCATCCATTTTGAAGAACCAAAAATCTTTTAAACGATGCTTGAAAACGTAACATACAACAATTCACCAGTTTTCTCTATATCGGAAAACAGATTTCTTTAAATCTCGAATCGCAGGTTGCGACTCCAAATTCCGCCGACGGAATGACTGCGCCCATTTTGGAGAACCGTGTTCGACAAATCTTGTTTAAATACTTGTTTCGCCATCGGTTTAGGAAAACGAAGAACGACAGAAACGAATAAGAAAATTGATCGTAAACGAGGTAGGAACGACGGTCGACCTATCGGCGATCGGTTTACGTATTCCCGACGGTGTCAACGGAACCGTGCTGGTCGCAGGTGCCTGAATGGAGTGTACTAAGAAAATAAATTTTTAAGAGACCCGTTATGCCCGCCGGTGAATAATTAGTAGGCTCTCGGCGTACTCGCTTAAGAAATCATTCAGAGATGGCTGTCTCGAGCCGTCCCTGAGTCGTTGCGAGGAGAGAGGGACTAACTGCTTGGCTCGAAAACGGGGGTACCGTACGTTCACCGTTGCCGGCGTTCACCTCAGTTTTATCGACGTATTTTTCACGTTTTCTCTTCGTCCATCCACTGTTTCCCCCTCTCTCTTCATTCCCTTCCCCTCGTTCCAGCGGCATCCAGAGGCCTCGCTGGCGCGTGCATTACATACCATTCCAACCCTCGTCTGATAACCGAGTCGACCTCGAACATTTTCTGCCGTACCATGCGAATCGATCTTATCTCTTTCCCCCATTCAACGGGCGAGTGGCCTTTTACCCGCCTTAAACACGAAAAAAAAACAATCTTAATGCCTCCACGTTTGCGCGTACAACATTTGCCGCGCTTTCAATTTCTCAGCGTTCAATTTTACGGAACTTCGTAAGGTCTCTTGAGAATTCGCGGCAATACCATGGTATGATGCATAACGGTGGACATTCCCGGCATGATTTTACCGATATTCGAAGAGAAACCGGTTCGAGGAACGGCGACTCCGTCGAGCGTAGTTTGTCCGATAGCGGATCGTGTCGGGTTTTATATTCGGACTTATGGTTATTCGGGGAACCCCGATATCTGAGACGGAAAAGTAAGAGGAGACGTCGATGTCTGCGCCGTCGGTACGTCGACGAGTTTGCTGGGTTTGTCGGTAGATGGGGCTCGAAAAACCGCGAAACGATGTTGTTTAAACTGTTGCACCACGGTTTATACTTTATCGACTAATTCTGATAAGTAGACCGAAGATCTTTAATAAATAATAAACTATTTGTCCTCTCTTTGCACGAAACGTACGATATTCTTTATTTTAAATTGCAAACTATCAACACTTCCTTATCACGAAATCAATTCAATCCCGTGGAGTGAAGATTTTGTGAATCAATTGGTAGAAACAGCAGTGATATTATATTTACGTTTTCGTCATTATACATTGTTTTTGATCGTTCTAATACTAATTTTTGTCGGAACTGCATAGAACTTGCAGTAAACACGTCTACGCATTCGCAGAATCGACGACCGATCATCGTTGACCCAAGAATTAAAGTTATATCACTCGGTTTTTACAATGGTTTCGAACGATATTGTAATTTTTAACCCTTATGTGGAATAATTGGGGACTCTTTTTCGCATTCGCTTAAAAATATTTCTCGTTCCCGGTAAAGTATTTCAATATTGCGAACTTGCTGACTGAAAAACTTCTTTCTAATGCATATTTGTAAGGTAAATTTAAAAAAAAAATTAGTGCAGCACATACCAGTTAATTATACAGAAATGAGAAATAAGAGAAATATTTCTACCTTGCATATTAGCACAGAAATATATCTGGCTCTCCACGTACATTTTTCACCGATAACTCTGCGAGCGTTATTCGTTCTGTTTTAATTACTTGGATATAATCTGCAGAGAACGCAACAATCGAAAACTATTTTTGCAGAATTGTAATCATTAATCCAATGAATTAACTCACAGAAAGTCACTGGCGCAGCAGAAATCTAAGTTTAATTAGGTTTCAACATTATAAATGAATTAATACTTTATAAATTAATACTTTATTATTCGTTTTACAGTTTCAATCTCGATCCCCCGTTTCATTGATCTTCTCATCGTATTTAATTTATTCTATTATCAATATTATTCATATTTTATTTATTGTCACATGTTGAGGAATTAAAGGATGGCTTCGCAAGTGAATACACAATTAAAAGAAATTCAAAACATATTCTCCATAGTCTTCGTAATGGTAAGTATAGTAAATTCTCTCTGATCGACCCTCAGCTTGTCGACAAAAATGAACGATTTGGGGGAAAGAGATAGGCTTATTTGAGCTTCGCGACTCGTTTTTGTAATTACCGATTGTCAACAACTATAAAAACGAGGCTGCAAGGCTCGAATAATCGCAACGATTTTTATTTACAAGCTAAGGATCAATTAGAGAGAACTTACTGTACTTCGTAATAATGTGCACAGTCAAATTGAAATGTCCATCGAAATTTATGTCGTTATTAGACGACATGCGAATGCTTCCGTGAATATATTTTCCCGATCCAAAGTGCACCTATTTCTCAAACATGAGCTAACCAGTTGCATCATCTTCATTCACGTTTTCCAACATGCAAATGCAGAAATGTCATGCGTACCATTTAAATGCCACTGCTACAGGAGCAATGCTGTTCTCACTGTGAGGTCTTCGATGAAATACGACGAGGTCTGCGATCTTCATTTCTACGATAAAATCAAATCTTTATAAAAACGTTATGATAACTGAAGAAGGTTTGGAAGAAAAAATATCAAAAAACAAAACCGACATACTGGAATACTCTCTTACACGGTTCACTCCCGAATATTCTCTTGATGTTGACTTTTTGTCGTCCATATGTGACAGAACTGTTTGTCAATTTGCGATTACTCGTATCGGTATCACCTCTTTTAATTAACAATCAAAATGTGTAATCATCGTATCTTCCTCGACTCAAAATTCATTAATATCCTTTTCATTTTAGGACAACAACTTTTTCCAAATTGTATCAAATGATTTGATTCGTTTTTAAACGATAGTCAATGTGTGAAACAATTTTTTATGTTTTCCCAACTTCTTTTATCAGAACTTAGAACGCTGAAATGTCGCCCGCGCATATGAGTTAACGAGATTTACGAAACGTGTTGTTAAATCTTTTCCAAGCTCGGATACAAAGTTAAAAAAACATCATCTCTCTATTTTTCTTATCGGTCCGACCAATTACAATTTGTTGAATAAAAATTTGTACACACGCTGTGCAGTGCACTAATTCAGATGTCGGCAACACCTTTTGCTGCGGATCAAAATCAACCAAAATGTGATTAGGTTGTCCAACAAAGGCGTTGAGCCTGTGGCATTTTGACTTTAGAACAGTCTTCTAGAGAATAACAAGATAAATGTCACCGCGATATTATAATTACGATATGCTTCTAAACTTTAAACATACAAATTCAAAATTCTAATTCTTATAAAAACAAATGTATTGAAATATAATTTTGAAAAATCATCGAATGGGTCATGGCGTTTGCACTAGTTAGTCTATCGTTGAAAAGAAAAAGAAAATCAATCGATTCCACAAAGCTGTTATTCCGTTTTAGAGAGTGTCGGTTCAGAAAGCCCGGAGCCTCCCTACTGCAACTTTGCTCGAGAAACGAATCGCATCCTGGATTGGTCGGCAAAGTCATACCGTTGAAAATTGTTTGTGGAAATCTTAACCGAGCTGTATATGCAAATGGCAGACGATTTCAAAACATTGCCAAGCGAAAAAAAAATGTATTCCAGACAAGTGGGAGCAATTGAAGCAAAAAACTATTTAAAAAAAAAACTCCATAAATCTCGACCAAAGAGAATGACAGCCGTTATTAAATGTAAAAATTATTACTGTACATAATATTTTGTTAAATATGCTATCATTTTGTCCCACTGTATTTGCATAAAAATCGTTTTTCTTACCGAATAGAATTTTTCAGACTAGCGAAATTCAATTTTATTTCATTCGCGAGCGTTTGCAGTGGTATTCTGCATGCATATATAGAAACAAAACCTCGGTGCAATGATAAATAAACAAAAATCACGAGTGTAAGACCGATGGAAGAACGCGGAAAACATCAGAAGTAACAGGTGATCCGGAACGACCCGCGCAGTTGGCCAACCGGAAGCGTTGCCCGGGGTCATTGTTAAACTCCGGTTTCCGGTGACCGCGAACGGAAACTCTTGGCAACGTACCCCGGCAACGGAAAATCTGCGCTCGCGCAGATTACCATCGGCTCGCATGTGTCATCCACGTTCGGTTCCGCGGAAGTTTCGTTCTGCGAGTCGTCTCGTGCGGACGGTTCCCAGCAAGCCGCGCAAATCCGCCGCGGAAACCACGAGGAATTTACTTTTTCCGTTTGGGTGACGGGTGAATGCGACTTCGGCACAGACGGAACACAATCTCCCGCGAGGACTTCCGCCCGCTAAAACTGAGATTGCAGAGGACCGGGTGACATGTCGGTGTTCGCCTGTTGCATACGTCGGGTGAGTTTTCCTCGAATTTCCCGGGTCAACGATGCATAAGTGCGCGAACTATCAAACCGTGGCGCGTGCAATATATCGAAGAACTTTTCGTCTTTCGACGCGGCATTTCCTTCTTTCGAAACCTTAGACGACGAACTTCCTCTACGGCTATGATGTTCGACGATGCTTGGCGTCACTTCGTTCTTTTAATTGTCAATTTTCATCTGTTCGACACTGTCGCGCAATGGGAAGTGCACCGTATTACAATGTCTGAAAGCTTATCGTACGTTACAGGATATAATAACTAATGCGAAAACGCGAAAGAAATGATTTTCCGATTTATAAATCTGCATCGAATTAAGGAGACAGAAGCTTCCACTTTTATTATATAAAATAAAAATTAAATAGATATACTCAGTACACTCGCGTAACTGTATCACACTCGATAAATCATGCTTACGCCGTGCAATTAATTTTCAAGTTGGGACTAACGTTTCGATGCGAATGATTTAAGCAAATAAGACGATCATTTTCGATACGGAGGAAGTACATTTTTAAGCGAAATCAATAAATTCGACTCGAATAACATGACAATTTCCATGTTTCGGATCATGTACATTGAGCTATCCAATAACGTACAAATTCGTTCCAGGGCTTCGTTCGTTTTAGCATCCATTCGTTACAGGATACATTGTTTCATATCTCAAAATTGTTATATCTATACAACAGTATTGCCCAGTCATCATATTTTGGTACCGTCAGATATTATACATTTCATATTAAAATCCTACTTTGGGCGAAATCATTGTATACAGTAATAACTATGCTGCATATTTGGTAATAATATTCGTCCAAAGTAAGACTTTAATATGAAATGTAATTTCTGACGATATATCAAAATATGATGACTGACCAATACCGTTATTTACGATCGTTGCTGACAGATTCCAATTGGCATAGCGATGTTATGAGAAAAACTGTTCGCTGTACCATTCGTTCGTTGTAGAATACATCACTGTAGATTCAAAATGCTATACAGATTGTACCCAAAATCGTGGTGCATCCGGTGAGGCGATTCTACATGTAAAGATAAATCGGAGAAAAGTAATAGCATTTATTTTCATTTAAGACTCTGTTTACGGAAAAAATTAAAGATCCGTGTCAGGTATCCGGATAGGTACTAACTGCGAGTTTCGACTTTTCGAAGTTCCTGTTTCTGCTCGTGTTTTGTCTTTTCTTTCTTATATAATTTAGTGTTTCATATCTTATCAGCTCTCTTAGCTTATTAGATCGTATCTGCTCGTGTTTTTATAAAGAAAACATGGGCGCTTATTATTTGCGCGTCCTATTATTCATGCTACAATGGAAACTCGGTTAAACGAACTAGATGTCCCTCGATCTTTATTATTTAGATTTTTAATTACTCCAAATAATGACGATAGAGCTATAGAAGAACCTCGATTAAATCTCGACTTATCATCCTATAATATTGTACTAATAATTTATCGAAAATAAAAGAAAATTAACTATCAATTTTGAATTCGAATAATCGATTTGCACTATCAATCCCTTTCGTGGCTTCGCGATGTTTGCGGATAGAAATCAAGAATATCTGGAGATGATTCTTTCCTTTGGGAGCATATCATGGTAACGCATCTGTAGCAAACCGTTTGTACAGAGAACATTATGCTAATTCCCATCTCCCCGACAGACGCGTGATTGTAAGAACAAAGCGAAATCTGCTTGAACATGGTTCTTCTCGTCGAATAATTCATTTAACATGTTGTACGCGCAGCGTTAATCGGTAGAGTTTCTCCCGGCGCCACGAAGCAAAAAAAGATTTACAAAAGACTATATTGTATTGTTATGAGCGCGTTCAGAGTCACCCCTATTATGTTTACAATGTTTTAATGAATTCCATCGTAACTAATAAAATGTTACAATATTTTAAAAACAAATTTAAATATAAGTATAATTTGTTAGTATAAGTATATTTTTAGCATTTGTTTTTGTTTATTTTATACTTTATTGTTACCCTATATTGTCTATACTCGTCACAGTTGTGTTACACGTAAAATTATTATAAATTACCTCCAAAATCCTGCTTTAATTGGACGAAGACTGCGGAAACATAGCCTTGCCTTCACCCAGATATGGGTGACGTGGCGTTCAACGTGTTAACGAACAGAGTTGTGCACGCAGCAACACGGTCAACATTTCGGACGCTTGTTATATTAATAAAGCGATGCTTGAAAGATACGAAACTTATACTATATTTATGAAACCGTTCATTAGAGCGCGCATTTTTACGCGCATATTTTTAAAAATTTGTTGCTCCGATCATAAGAGACAGATGCCGGATATTTATTTAAATTTTCTGTTAATAATTTCAACAAGTTGAAAATATTACATCGATACCCATTAACGCATTATGTGCGGGAAAGGTATTAGCACTTTTTTAAAAATTTAATTTTTAAAATGTTATTATACATTTGAGTTAATAATGCAAACACGAGCAGAACAGGGAAGTTCGACAGGTCGAACAAATTACAAAAATACCCGACGGATTTTCGAATTCATTTTTCTCTATTTTCTGAGTCGATCTAGACAATTTTTATTTTGTATAAAACTCTACAGCTAATCTTTAATCCTTCTTTTGCAATGTTTATCGAAAATTTAACGTTAGCAAATCTTTCCTGGCAACCGGAAGATCGTTGATTTGTACCTATAAATCTTTACTTTGTTACGTGATAGATCTCCAGATCAGTGTAAGAACGGTCCCAAAAGTTCAGAATAAATTTATAAATATGTTCATATCAAGTGTACTGATGCGCGATTTATGGTCTCCGTAAACTATTATACATTCTTATACACGCTTCTCTCTCTCTCTCTCTCTCTCTCTCTCACACACACACACAGAAAACGTCACTTACTACAATCTAAAAGTTACCAGGAAGTGTTTATCAAAATGAGTCTTGTTTGCTTGCTAAATATAAATTAGTTCGTAATTCAAAACAACAAGTTTAGTTTCTTATATAGTATAAACTCGATTTTCAAACTAATAAGTCATTGTTGTCTTCAAAAGTTTGAACTAAATAGTATATATACATATATATACATACACACACACATATATATAAAAACTTGTTATTTATATGAAAATTTTTTTATTTATTTACATTTTTGCGAAGTTCGCTAGAAAGAATATTAGCTAAAAATCAACAATCAGAAAATTCACAAGAAGGCATTTATCAGAACGAGTCTTGTTTATTTACTAAACAAATTAACAAGTTTTGTTTATTACAATATAAACTTGATTTTCAAGCTGATAAACCATTATAGTCTCAAAAATTGAAACTAAATACCATAGTAATAGTTTTCCATTAACCCTTCGCTGTCACACTTTCTCTGCGTATATCATACAGTTTTCAAGCAACTGTCACACAAAAGCTAACAATGCTATCGAGACCCAAAAATATTTAGGATATACTTTGAACATTCCAGAACAACGTTTCCTTTATTATAACTCGATATCTCACTTTCAACTATATTCAATTAATTGTTAATTCGCAACATTTACGAAAAACAAAAAATGTGGGCCATTTTTACCCAGTGTAACGGCGGAAGGTTAAACATGAAAACGCTCGATGTGAACATCGCGTATCCAATTTTTCTCTACTTACGTTTTCGCAAAGTTCGCAAAATGAATCATTGCAAAGAAGTTCGTATCCAAAGTGACAGGATAAAATCGCAGAACCAGGTACAACGTTAACCTTAAAAGATAAGAAGACATTGCAATAGCCGTAGAAGAATTCAAGTTCACGATGCAACGTCGAAGAAATCGCGAAAGCATGCAATTCGGTTCCGCGGAAGAAGGTTCAGGCGAGTCGCCTCGCATCGAGGCACAGATCGTCGAAGATTTCATGGCCGAAAAAACGAAGCTAAGAGGTCGCTTGTTTACCGGCAAAAAAAAAATCGGTGTCGCGTCGATTCTTCCACGACCACGGGCTAGCCTTAATTCTTGCTCACCCCTGTCGCTCAGGTGGCAGAATCGGTAAACAGAAAAAATGAAGTTAAGTTCGCACGTTACGGGGGCCGCCGGGGACTGGGAACGTGTTCAGCGTAACTCGCTAGGGTGAACGGATACATTTTCCGCTACTTAACGGATTTCATGCTCAACTATCAAAGAGATCGCGTCCTTGCTCTAATCAGCGTGCGTATTAATAGAACGCGACTTGGGTTTTTGCAAAATTTTCTTGGAATGGTCTCCGATGCGACGGCGATCCTTCTCTTGGGACCGGCTACGCGCAGAAATACTCATTCAGAAAGGAAACGCCTGGGAAGAAGACGCGGCTTATCAAAGAGAAAACCGTGCCTTTTTTTAGCCTAAGACGCTTCGAGCGTGCGGCTAGGTATGATCAATTAATTTTACCCGAACCCTTCTTTTTTTAAATCGTCAGCCTCGGACACGGCTTCCTGACCGATCGGAAAGTTCACCGTCGAAAATCGCCCGGCAAAATCTCTGTGTTGTCTGTTCGATCTTGTTTTACGTCACCTTCATCGATGCAGCCACGAGCGAGCACCTATCGTCTCCTGTCTTGCTACACGTTCGAAAACATTGTCAAGGGATAGGAATTTTTTAAAAACCTCCATGATTTTGTTTCGGTGTCGGTATGTCAGCGATGAAAAAAGTAGGAAGAAGTAACACTCGAAACCCAGCTTATTCTCTGATATTTCGCACATGATGTGTAATAAATCATATTCTTCGATTCCTCAGATAAACAAACTGTTATCAACGAACGTTTTAATATTGGATCAATGCGAAAATAATTACGGTTCTGAAGCATCAACTTTAAAACGGTTCAGCTTCAAACACATTTTATATGCGATCCTGTGTATGAAACGAGATCTTCAATTACATTTTTAGACGTATGTTAATTAAACCGTCTGGCAAAGAGCTTTAATTACCGTTAGAAGCCATTTTTATTACTTCGCGTCTCAATTTCAATGCATGCTATGAAATCATAGCAAACCTAATGTTACTTAATAAATATTCTTAAAAATATAATAATATAATATAATATAATAATATTCTGTAACTCTCTATAATATCGGTGAAAATAATTATAAGAATCTTTGCACAGTTTTTGCACGAATCGCTAACAATTTATTTTCGAACGATCACCAAAAGTTGAAGCGACGAAAATCGCAGTTTTTATGCTATTCTGATTGCGAATCAGGTGACAAAGGGTACAGATTAGAGGAGCTTTTGTTTTTGTTGTTACGAGTTCCAACACGTTCCCTACTTTCCATTGATTTTAACCTGACTGAGTAGGAACACGTAGAAACTCAGATTAACGTTCAACAGCAGACGACTTTTTCTGTTCGAGAAGCACGCAAAAGAAGTTGTTTGAATTGTTCAACGTTGTTGTTCTTTGTGTGGGATGTTTTTAAAAAATTCCTATCTCTTGATAATGTTTCCGTATAATCGTTTGTGACATCATCGATAAAGGTGTACAATAGGGAACAAATAACAAGATAACAATCGTACAGTTCACCGTCTCATAAGTCACATTCGAACCTCGTTCTGTTTTGTAGACAGTTGATCTCTGTCATTCGCGTGTGTACAATAACTAGTTCGATCGTCTGCGAACAATCGTTTAGCCTTTGATCAACACGGAACTCCCATATGGAACAGATAATCTTTTCAATAATTGAACATCCGCCAGGCATCTTCTACTGAAAGAACGCTGCTGCAGGTAAACAATATTTCTGAATAAAACAACTCAATGTTTATCTCTTGTCGCTCTGCTTTTATTAACGTGTTCGCTATCAAGATTCGTTTCACTGGCACTGGTTATGCAAGAAAGAGTGGTACGAGGAATATTTATAGATTGAAGAGGATTTAAAAATGTCGGCCAAGTCACTGTCTGAGCTGAAATTAAATAAATATACAGTAAGGAGCAAAATTGTATGAATCATACAAATTTTTTCAACAAATGAGACATCGGAAAATGGAAATTAGTGGTATTAATATTTTGTTTACTCATGTAAGAAATTCGAACAAATCTTCAACGTTTGGAATGTGTTGGGTAAGAAAACACCAATAGGTAAGAAAATTATTGGCACACCTTTGAGAACGGTTTATAACTTGTTTAAAACTGTTTCGAAACTGTTTTACAAATTTTTATTTTGCTATTACTTGGAACGACAAATAAAGTAAAGAAGCTCGCGTCTTTTTTTCAACTTTCGATACGTGTGAAACCTCTTCTGATTTTAACAGGGGGGTTCTTTGTAATTTATTTATAACCATCTGAGAAAAATCGTTTGCGATATCCGAAACTCTAAACTTACGATTGGAAATATTGATTACCATATATTTCCTAAAATACTCATAAGATTGATCCAGTTTCACTCCCATGCATACACACTTACCGACAAAGATTAAGAAACTTTACATATCGTTAACGTTTGAGTAAAATTTGATATTTGAATAAATACAAGTCTTATTAAAATGAAATTGCAAATAAAATTATAATATTGTTTTACTTGGTGCATACGACAAATAAAGGAAATAACGAAAATTAGAAGAAAATTACACAAAATTAAAAATAAGTAAAAAAATGCAAAGATAAGATAAAGAACGGAAATTAAAAATTTATAAATAAATAAAATCAATATTTCCGTTGACATGATACAAATGTTCATCCTATGTTAAGAAGATTTACAGCACCAAAGAATATGCATCTGTGTAACATGTTCCTTAACTTTTGCCGGGAAGTGCAGATAATCCACTATGCGAGAGAATCATGTTTCTCACACACGTGGCTGGTGGCAGTTGCGTCTTTAGTATCCTTTTTCTTAAAGTAGCTTGTCTATCTCGCTTTGAATGGCAATCTAGTAAGAAGTTGTTGGCTTTTGGCACATTTGGTAGCAAACGTGTCGAATCGACCTCACGGAAGACTTAAATGCAACGAACGCGACGTTTTTCAGAATCATCGACAAATGGATGATGCAAGGCAACTGGCGCTGCTGAAGGAGGCGCCGGAAATCTCATGGGAGAACACATTAGGCGCGCCAAACGGCGTCCCATTCGACGAGGACACCAAGGAACTGCTCAGGAATTGCCTGGACGTCACCGCGCCATCGCCCACGACCCTGGCACAAATCATCAAGCGAAGCGAGGTGTTCCCTATAAATTTCCCGATTAAAACGACCAGGTGCTCCGCTCTCAGAGACAGAGGAATCAGCACCGACATCCTTGAGGTTCGTCCTTTAAATTTGATCAACTGTGTTTCCTCGTTTTCCAGACGCTCTCCCTTGATTTAACGCGAAGCCATCACCTTGCGTATTTACTTCGTTCATTTCCGTATTTCTTTCCTGTTTTTCTCTTGCACTGCTTCGGTGTTATTTTTCACCTGTTTACTCGTTCTTTCTTACCATCTTTCCGCCACGTTTCATTCTTTTTTTAGAGTCCCACCGGCAATTCTTTCGTTTCATTGTGCCGCGACTTCCAAATTAACTTGCACATCGATTTCGCGTTGTTTACATTTCGCTTAGTTGAACGAGGCGACGTTGGTGTGATTTCATTTTTATTCTTGCTTTCTGCGCGACATCTCCTTTGCTTCCACTTTATGTTCATTTTGTATTCATTCTGTATTCATTCCGCATTCATTCTGCATTCATTCTGCATTCATTCTATATTCATTCTACATTCATCTATTCGCCCTGATAAATATGGACTGTAAAACTCGATGAATATGATGTGTACATTAGAATCGCGAAGAAAGCTCAGATAAAATTGAGAACAAAATAATGTTATTAAATCAGGTAAAACGCAAAGCACACAGGATTTACCTCCTTCACCCTAATCTTTCTCCTTTTTCACCAAAATATGACGCAATAGAATGTGCGTCATTTAATCGTGCCATTCGAAAGTCTCTTAAATGCACAATAAAAAATTATTAAGGCGGAAAGGTGCAAAAATATGTTCTCATTTTTATTCAGGTCGTTTAAAATGTGTGCCTCTGCATACGTATGTTTTACATTCATCAGGCTAAACCGGGTTTAACAGCGGCCACTTTTGTCCCATTTTAAATATTGTTTCGTTTCAAACGCATATTCATACTTCTGTTTTATCTCGATCAAATTCCATCTCGCAATGGCAACGTAATCTCTCGTCCCCTTTCTGATTTTTATTTTACCAAAATCATCCCGATACACCGAGCATCAGCAGTTCTATTCGCGTCTGTTTCGAAATTTCATTGAAATCGAATACTATTAAAAGTAATCGGTCTCGATTGACCGTGATGTTAATTCCAGATGAATGCGAACTCAGTTTATCCGGTGATACACGAGGCGATGCTGCCGTTACTGGCGCGATGGTTGAAGCACAAACAATCGAACGGGAGTGCCATCGAGAGATCGATGTACAAAGATATGGGATTGATACAGTTTATTCACCGTTTACTGGAGAAGCGAGCTGTGCATTTTTATGGGCCCGACGATCGATGGAAGCTAATCGATGGTAAAACGGGTGTCAACGGATGGGAGAGCGTTGGTACTGATCACGAGAAGGAGCCTTTGGTTAGTGCCCCCACCCCCACCCCCTCCCCCTGCATAATTTCAAGCAATCGTTTGAAACGATCTTATACATTAACGACGAGAGTTTTCTTAAAGAACAGAGAATATTTTCGTAACAGAACTAGATTATATAGATTATATAAAATATTGAGTAGTTCAGAAAGTGATTTCAATCTTTCACGAGAAAATGAGAGACGATCTTTTAATATTTAGAGTACATATTATTTAACAATGTGTATCGTTCTATAACTTTTTCACATTTTTCCGGCAGCTTTGAAATCTTACGCTCGCAGAGGTCCTGTTTTCTTTTACTGGCAAAATACTGAATCAAGTACTTTTTTAACAACCTTAAAAAACGAATTTACATATAACTTCGGAATTTGCACGTTTGTTGTGAGTTAAGTTAGTATCATTGATTAGAACTATATAATAATTTCTTAACGAATACGTCGATAAAAAATAATTTAGAAATATAAGAAAATAGTTTTCAATTTTGATAATAAGATAATATTATATGTGTTGATTGTATCAATCAACTTCTAAAATAGAATGCACTGATGTCAGCACATGAATATTCGTCCTGAAAGGATTAACTTTTCATCTACACTCTTTCTCCTTGTGCCTGACAAAATTTGTTTCCTAAAAGTTCCAGTACTTGAACACTTTATCTCATTATAAGAATTCAGTTCTTCCATTTGTCTGATCGATTAACATGGCGATTCTTCGCCGACAATCGAATGGAATATCATCGGATTCGAGTCAGCTATATGTAATTTATTTGTTATAAAACCGCATTGAACGGGCAATAAAAACTTCAATGGAGGTCCGATAGATTAGTCATTCAACACAGCTTCCATCTCGTCTCGCGATCTCCGTTTTCATGGAATCGTTTTAATCGAGAACTTCAAAGCTACGACTCCCCATACATGATCGTGTACGCACAAAATGTTTCAAGACCGATAATAAGAGACATATACAGGATTGTGGCGTTAATCTCCTCGCGATTAATCTCCCTTCAATGAATCTCGATAAGCTTGTCATTATACTCGTCTCAATATCAGCGAAATTGCCCAGAGAGGCCGATTATACATTTACTCGCGCTTTGAATGCAATTCGGTTTCCTTTCATCTATAAATATCCTTTAACAGGGGAGGAAATCCTGCAGAAATTCCGGATGAGAAATTGTCTGTGTTGAAAATTCGAAAAAGATTTGAATGTAATTGAATTTATTTCTGTAGAATATTCTGGAAAAGATCTCGATACAAGTAAAATTTGTTCTGTAAAGAATTCTGAAAAGATTTGAATGCAATTGAGAGAATTTATTTTTGTGTAGAATATTCGGGAAAAGATCTCGACACAATTGGAATCTTTTCCGTGAAGAGTTCTGAAAAGATTTGAATACAATTGAAATTATTTGTATAGCAAATTCTACAAAAATTCTAGAAACAACTGAAATTGTTTCTGTAAAGAACTCTGAAAAGATTCGAATGCAATCGAAATTATTTGCCCAAAAAACTTCGGAGAATTCTGTAAGCAACTGAGACGAATCTTCTGGTCGACAGGTCCTGACGAAATGCTTGTCTTACGACGAGATCAAGTTGTCAGCGATGCTGACGTTGTCCTCTCACAGCGAGTTCATAAACGACGGCTCGCGAGAGAACAGAGGCGTCGTGAGTACCGATCCAGACTCCATTCAGCCGCGAGGAGTCGTTATAGGTGTCGTGGGAACAAGGTTTCGCTTTGTTTATTTCACGCTTATCGTTAACAAAAGAACCTATCGTGTACACACCAGTACGTTGCATTTCCGTCACGGGAAAGCACGCGTTTCACCTTTCCTACCACTGTCCGCAGATTCGAACGACCACGCCTCATGGAGTACCAAGACATCCTAATCACATCTCAACAGAACACCGTAGACAATGGGTGAGTCCTGAATTTTAAGCAATCCATCGCCTTACATTCGATGAAAAGTTCATTTTACTCGACTGCTGAACAATGAACAAAAAATCATATGAATCTTTCCTAGAATATAAATAGAGTGAAACGAGTCATCGAACAAATTTTTATGAATATCAGAATAATTACGACAGGTTCGATAAAGAAAAAAATTCTTGCAACACGTTGACCATCGGTGACAAGTACCCATGAGTTTTAATGGCGTACCCGGAAGTCACTGCTGGCCGCTGACATTTTTAAACTCATTGTTTTTCTATTTATTACAACGGATCAATGATCGTGTAATTTGATAGAAAGTAAACAAATTTAGAATGTAAACAAACTGGAAGAAAAACAGCTTTCTAAAACACTAACAGCTGCGTCAGCCGCTGGCGACAAGTCCTACGATGGAAATCGCTGATGATCACTTCAACTCGCCCACATTTTATTTAAATAAAAAAAAAACGTTTAGATATCTCTCATAAACGAATGATATTAAAAATATGAACAAACAGAGAATAAAAAGTCTGACAGATTAACAGCTTCTGTGGGCGCTGGTGATGAGTTCCTATAACTTCATGACAGTTTGAAACTCCCTGCCTCTCCACTTGAAACAAATACGATGCCAATGTTTTATAGACGTTTCTTATAAAACGGAAAATTTAATTTTTTCGCATAAATATCGCTACATGATTCTTATCGGTCAGATACGGACCTCCCAGCTCGCACAGCTCGAACGAACAACGAGGACTGCGACTGATGTGGGCGAAGTTTTACGGAGACGAGTACATTCCGGTTTACGACGAAGCCGTGAAGCGTGCGAAATCGAAGGACAATAGGAGATACTTGACCTTGTCGAATCAGAGTATCTTCGACATCGAGAACTACATGAAGAGGATCCTCGTCAGCGTGGAGATCATTCTTCTCGAGGCGAACACGCGAGCCGAGAAACAAAACACGACTGCCTTCCTGCACGTTGTAGGCTTCGGTCTCGGTTAGTGTGTTTTTGATCATCCTCTGTAACAATTTTTCATTCCATGAACGATAATTGTCTACAATCGCGTGGATTTCCTTCGCCAATGCCGAACATTTTCTAGGCTGTTCAACAACCTCGTGGATCTCGCACGTTTGTTTAAGGGAGCCATTTAATTGTCCTTTGAAAACTTTTCAATGTAAAAAATTTCTTAACATATTTTTCAACAGTTACCTCTTAGTCCAACAGTCACTCTTTGTATTATAAAACTTTCGATAGCTAAATAAATAAAAATCCAAAGCCGTTCAATTCATAGCGAACACTTCCTCAAAATTTGGAGATTAATTGTTATTATTGGACTGCGGGTCTTTATGCAAAATAAAATGTTTCTCCGTCAATTGCAAGAAGCAGAAGCCACGACGAAAATTTATTCTTTCTCGAATAATTTCAGAAATTGAGATTTCAGATTGTATTGTACAATCCATCGACTAAACTAAACATCAAAGTTAATTCACATATTTATTATGTAAAGTCTACTGTCCAATAGAAAGGTGGATGCGCCCAAAACAATGAGGCAAATAAAAGGAGATTGGAAATAGGTGTTCGGTTCTCGAAGAAAGGATTAAAGAAAGATGATGTTTTCAGGCGTCTGGGGTATAATCCAGGATCAAGAGATATACTTCCTGAAGACTTTCGAGATCGCCATTAAAAAGATGAAGAAGAAGCTGAAACACGTCTCGGACATAATGTTCGCATATTTCTCGCAGCAAAAGTGCGGCGACGTGGGGAACGGCGACTATCTCGGAGGTTTGTACGAATTTCCGTGATTCTCCTGTCCTCTCCCGACGAGAAAAACAGCCGCCAATTTATCCGCGATCTTCTTCCAGACATAAAGATCCATTTCGCTATCAGGGAGCCTCACAGCCGACTACTCAGATCTACGGACGCAAACAAGCTTCTCGTAGTGACGTATGCGTGGGACGGGAACGCGCTGCCAGGTCTGTCTGATCGTTAGAAAATTAGTATATGTAGAAGCGTAGCCTAATTTCAATCAGCACCTAAAGCGAGTCATCATCGACGCGTCATAGGAGATAAAAATTCTTCTACAACATATATTTTTGCACTTTTTATTCGGAATCTGTCATGATCCCAGTATTATTAGTCATCTTTGTAAAAATCGTCATCCTAGTTAAGGGATTAACCCTTTTAGGATTACCGCGATGTGCAAAACGAATTTTTTAAATTTTCGTTCCGGGTTCAGAGGAAAAAGTTTTATGTTTATTCTTTCTCTGTCATTCCAAGTAACTGCAAAATTTACAAAATGTGGTTTTAGTTATTGAACAGTAAACTAGTGTACAAACTTTAACATCATATTCAAGATATATTCGAAGTTTTCAAAATTATAAGTGCGTTTTAAAAGGTGTTCTGTTCAACTCTGCGCACTGTTGTTATTTAAACCACGATGGACAACAATTGTCAGATTTTGTGATTGTTTGTAAATGGTATTAATTTGTTTTCGGCCTGATTTCGCTGTATATCCTGAGAAAAAGGAACATTTGCAGTTTTATTACCGATTGTCCAAGAGCTGTAATTTGGGTCTAATCTAGATACTGATTCGAATTCGGCAGCTCTCATATATCCTAGTAATGCTAACTTGTTCGTAATCGAATCATAATCGGATCATTGCACGGCAGGAAATGAATTTTGGAGCGGATTCCTTTCGTCGAGCGGAGACCCTGCAGCAGCGTGCAGCAGTCAAGTAGCCGAGCTGCACACGTCCAGAATTAATCCGAAAACTTGCGGTGCCAGCTTGCACGTGGCCTCAGCTGAACACGGTATTTTACACATATCGGATTACGCGAAGCTACATCTTACTTAGGTGAGTCTTCTGATTTTACTCGCAATCGGAAGGGAAGATCGCGGAGCTGGAGAGATGCTGGTGCATCCCTAGACTTTCTAACACTTATATCGTAGGACTATCTTCAGAAACATTTTGAAACTTCGTTCAATTAGAATGATCTTCTAGAATAATTTATAAACGAAAAATTTCAGTTACAAATTCTGAACCGTCATTATTTCTATGAAAATTAATAATAAAATTAATTTTAAGAATGAAATTGTTGCATTCATAATACAATAAAATAGCATTTCGAATATAGTGAATTATTCGAATAAAGTTTTGTTCGGATAAGATTTCAAATTTTTTAAACCAATGAAATTTTATTCGAATAAATTTGCGAATAAGAGTATTTGTAGTAATCATATGTATTCGAACTGTTCAGTACCGAATGTCATAGAAGATCTCTGGATTTCAGTTTTGCTCTTTAATCGATAATGAATAGACATTGGATCTGAATAAATGTACAAATGAAAAAGTTATTTCCAACAACGAATCATTGTTCCTGGGATAAAATTATATTCGTATAACGTTTCGAGTATATTTCTCGAACAAATCTTTCGAATAAAGTTTCATTTATTATTCGTCATTTTATTCGAATAAAATTGTATTCGTTATTCGTTAATTTATTCGGATAAGATTGTATTCGTTATTCGTTAATTTATTCGGGTAAAATTGTATTCGTTATTCCTTAATTTATTCGAATAAAATTGTATTCGTTATTTATTAATTTATTCGAATAAAATTGTATTCGTTATTTATTAATTTATTCGGATAAAATTGTATTCGTTATTCGTTAATTTATTCGGATAAAATTGTATTCGCGACTCGTTAATTTATTCGAATAAAATGTGCCTAACTCTGGCCTGGGTTGTACAATCAAAAATGTTCGATTATTTGCAAATCGGCACAAGTGAATCTGAAATCAAGAAAATCTGCATCGAATCAAGTATTTGGACAAAGTCCTCAATTTTACCGCGCTGTGCGTCGTGAAAATATCGATGAAAAAAGCGCATCTCCAGACCGCAGGATCTTTCCGATCCCAAAAGCCAGCAACGATTTCCTTAAAAAAGAAACCGTCCTGCAGGAGCGGGCCTGCCCGTTGGGCACCACCGGTCAGCGAAGACCATCCCGGTCTCCTCGGAATCAGAGAAGTCGCAGCGCGGACGTGGACTGTCTGAAGAAGTACACGGAGAGACGCGTGGAAGACCGAAGGCACACAGATGTGGCGGACACGAGCAAGCTGGACCCGTCCCGTTGGATCCCGCTGACGAAGAACATGAGCCGGAGCCAGCCGACTACATCGAAGAAGTCTCCGCAGTCGTCCAGGGACGAGGAGAAGCGTCGCTCGATGACGATGGACATCGAGGAGACGATTAACGATATACTGCGATCCAGCGCCGTTCCGGTGCCGAAGAAACTGACCCCGACAAAGGAGGAAGAAACGACGAAGGAGGTCGACGAGAAAGACGAGACAACGATGACGACGACGGCGACGACGGCAACGATAGGAACGACGACGATAGGGACGTCGACGGCGGCCCCGTTGTCGACCATGTTGGCCTCCACTCACAGAACGACGACTGGCCGCAGCCATAGCACCGACGTCGGCCGCGCTAAAAACGAAAAACCCGTCGTCGAGGAACGAAGGCATACGGAGGCTGATTCCCGAATGATCGCGACGAGGTTGACAGAGCACATTTTCCTAGTCAAAAAGAAACCGATGCCGTGAATCACATGCTAACACTATAATATCGCCGTTAACAGATCACTATGATAACCGCATGAATAACTAAGCGTTAAACTTGTCGTAAGCTCGTGAGATCCAAGTACCTCGCGAGGTAATCAAAAGCTAAAAATAACAGAAAACGTTGCACTAAGCCCCCGTTGTCAAATCGGATATCGTCGTAGCGAAAAAAGAAAAGAATAACAATAATAAGAAACGGCTACGTCACTATGTTTGTCGCATGCGAGTTCGATGTACCGTACGTGTATGTAATAGTCGATGTCGGTCGTTCTGTGGAATAGAAGCTTATGATAACAATAATAATAATAATAATAATAATAATAATAATGATAATGTATGTGGTTGCGAACGCAACTCTCGTTTCATTTCGGTAAACGTATTATAAATATGCATACGTATATAATTATATCATATACATAGAGGGAGAAAAGCAAAAAGCAAACGAAAGATTGGTAAATAAATTAACTGGCCGTATTCTGGCGTGTTAGAACGCGATCCCGCTGTTTCGAGTCTCGACAATGGCTTTCTGAGTACCAAATACCTTTAGGTGGCTACCGCCAATTAACACCTCAAGGTTCCGCAACGACGCGTCCTCATCGTTCATCAGGATCAGCAACAGCGAAATCTCGAAATTCGCTGCGGCCAGGTGGCTGACGTTCGTCAATAACCCGTCCCCGTCGGCGTTACCGCGCACGAACCCAGAACCAAAGCCGTCGTCGGCGACGGAACCGGTTTCCGAAGACGGCCGGCGCATAGACACGAAGAACGTGTCGCCGAAATGGGAGCCGATCAGGAAGTTCTCGCCGGTGGCCGCGGCCAAGGTCGTCAAGGACGCTGCACAGGAAAAAGGTGAGAAGCGAGATCGATTGACACGAGACAGGAGAACCGAGAAGAACGTGGGTCGCTTGCGTGGACGATTGCACCACCTCTGATAACGAAACAACTTGGCGTGCTCGTGGTCGTCTTACGTGAAAAGCAGGGAACGCGAGGATCCTTCGTTTGTTTGATGGAAATGTAATGCGGAGAGGGATTACCGTAGCAGCAAATGTTTTAGTATTTGTTTAATAGGATAGCGAAATCAAACTTCTAGTTCGGTAAGTGGTCTTCGGATGGCGGCCATTTGGAGGCGTTGAGTTTAGGTGACACGTTACTGGCAAGGAACGATCCCCAGGCGCGACACTCACTTTTTTATGAAATTTCGTACAGTGGTAGAGCTCGTGAAACTAAATTCAATGATATCCGGTTTTAGGTAGAAACGGCTTATAGTTTTCGAAATATTTAATGTTGTTAGTAGATTTTATAGTAGTAATTTTATTATAGTAGTAATTTATTATAGATTTTATTATAGTAATTTTACGTAGTTTAGTTTGTAATAGATGCATCAAATCCGCAAACAGTGAGAAGATAAAAAAGATTTAGGATTACCGATATGTCATTATCTCTAACTAGCAATATCATTAGCAAAAGAAAGAAAGTTCTATGCAGCTTCTGTATCTTACAAGTGATGCGCAACATTTTTATTTTGCATATGGACCCGCGATCTAGTTATTAGAAACGAAGTCAGAAAGATAAGCTGGATTTTGGGCTCTGGCACCGTGCGGCGGAATGGGGTGGAGGGGATGTGGAGAAGTGCTCACGAGTGGTGCAGAAGAAACTATGGGAAGACTCGCGTACCCCGATTCCTAATGTCCCCTCTCTACTATTCTTCCACCACTTGTGTGAGCACTTTACAACTTTAACATGAAATATCTTTAAAACTATAAGCCGTCTGTACCGAAAACTGGGAATATCTGGGAACAAGTGAGTGTCACGCCGGTCGACCTCTCCTTGTGAGTCAAAGTATGAAATCTGTTTCTTATAACATAGTTAGATAGAGTGAGTTATTCGTTGTTACTCGCGGTATACTAACCATTTAACAACACAGTGTCCATTAACGCTAAACCTACCGAACGCTAAAGACGTCTGACACATCTTGATTTATAACAATTACAAGGTAGCATTTATTTAAGATTTTTTTTTTACGAGCTCTACCACTGTGCGAAATCTCATCAACAAGTGAGTGTCACGCCGGTCGACCTCTCCTTGTGAGTTAAAGTATGAAATTTGTTTCTTATAACACAGATAGTGAGTTATTCGTTGTTACTCGCGGTACACTAACCATTTAACAACACAGTGTCCATTAACGCTAAACCTATCGAACGCTAAAGACGTCTGACACGTCTTGTTTTATAAAAATTACAAGGCGGCATTTATTTAACATTTTTATTGCAGTGTTTGTTCTGAATTAAGAAATTTATTCGAACATTTCCTACGAAAGTTGCTCTATAATACCGGGAATGTTTAAATAAAAAAAAAATGTGGAACCGGTCGTTTTGACCGCCACGGTAAGTTTAGTGTTAAAAGCATTCTTTCTGGTAACTTGTTCAGATATGATAGTATTCGTCTTTGACTCCATATTTGTGCAGAGATGGCCAAAGGAGAATTTTATGGATCTTGGAAGGAATAATTGGCATTCGTTGAACGATCGATGGTGCGGCAAGTTTTAAATTGTTTAGCGTCGGAAGTTGTAATGGGTGACTTGGTAATTGCAGACAAAGCAGAGTCTAGTCGTGATCCACCATCGTCGAAGCTCTCCCCCGATTCTATCGAGCAATCGCAGAGGCTGACGCAACGTATACGAGAACTTTACGATTTCAAAACTGAGAATGAATGGCCGAAAAGAGCGGTGAACGCACACCACAATAACATATGGATCAGCAAGAGCAGCAGCGAAGAGGATCGATCTGACCAGCAGCGTGTTCGCAGGAACAGCCAAGACTTGGAGTTCAACGACAGGGTGAACGTGATCAAGGTGCGATTAACCTGGCCAATGATTTCCTAAACTCCTAGTCTCCTGTCATTTGAACAACACATAGCAAACAACAACAATAAATATCAATAATTATTAGACTGCGGATTTTTATGCAAAATGAAAATTGTCTGCATCGATTGCAAGGAACAGAAATCAAGTAACCTCATGCTTCCTTCAATCGTCTTAACAGATGAAAAATAATTCATTCACGTTTTAAAGTGCTTTCCATTTTTACGCTATTTTAAATTGTGACTACCCAATTTTGTTACAAACGCATGAAATCCGCAAGTCTGATAATCATCGATCGAACAATGTTTATGCATTCGTAGCTCCCGAAGATTGTAAAAAGATCGAAACTTCGACGTTTAACCCTTAGTGGACGACGACTTTTTCGGCAGAGTCAGGTAGCAGGACGAGGTGATTTTTGCAAATATGTCGAGTGTCTTATATGGTACAATAAAATGATCTTACATATAAATTATCTTACAAAAACGTTATATTTCGTTAGTTTATCTATATTCACACTTTTATGAACATAATTTTACAAAAATTATGATTTGTAGTTTCGTTCGATGTGATAGTTTATAAAACATTGACCAAGATGTATTCTTGGTTTATCTGGACATGTATCACAGAAATAGGTCGTCTCATGTCTTCCCTCTGGTTTGTTTCGACTGGAACAAACTTTGCAATATTTCTTTGTGCCAGTAACAATTACATGCAGTTTCCCGTTTAGACGAATTTCGTCAGAGTTGGACGTCGAACTTGAAGATCTATCTCGTGGTTGACGAAAATCTCCTCTGAATCTGTTGATCAAAATTTTGCGAAAGTTCAAATGTGTAACTGGCTGTTAGTTTCTCTGC